GGCTCAAGAGATACACTGGCTTGTGGTACTAAGTGGACATAATATCTTGTAATTTTATACTGTAGTAAATTTATCAGTACATGTTACTATGTTTTAGCCATTTTGTGTTGGCTAATATTAAATAGTTATGGTGCTCATCTCAGATTGGGTTAAAAGTTAATCAGTACATACACAGCCAGTGATTACTTTTTAAATACCATAAAAATGTATCTGGTAGCTGCTAAGACAATTTTGCTAACAGAAAGATATAGTTAAGTCCAGTGGTTATTGGCCAGGTTTCACACACATTTTGAACAATGTGTAGAGCTCAGATTATGTGTTGGGCATGGAGTCTAAGATGACCATCACATCTAAACTGCTTTCACCAGAGGAAATTTAATGTAGTAGTAGCTGAGAGTCATTCACAACACAAATGCTAAGCGAAACATCTGCACATCGTTTTTTTCAGGGTTTGCTGCAACTCTTTCATTTCTCAACAACAGATTTTAGACAAAAACTCTGGCATGAAAAAGTGGCAGGCGACGAGGATTTCTTCAAGAAATGTTGTGCCTTTAATGAACAGACGCTCACGTATGAGTGGAATCCAGAATTTGGCACCATGAGTCATCTTCAAGTTTGTGAAGAAGTTGCACTGCCACAGAGATGTCAGTTTATTTTCTGTGTGAAGATTTCTGCGGTCACATTCGATGTTTGCTCGGTTCCTGAACTTTTGATATGTGTGTCTGAAAGAAGTTATTTGTGCCTCCGTTTTCATTTGATTTTTCTTTCAGACAAAGGCTGTAACCTAACCTGCCCTCTTTTCGTGTTGACCTCAGCCCTCATTCGGTGATTAATCATCTCCTACACAACACCTGCGGCGACGCACCAACCTGTCTGAGAGCAGAGCTGCAGCTCCACCGCTCTCAGCTGCAGATAAGGCTCAGTTAGCACATCAGCACTATTTGCTCACCTCCTTCTCAAACATTAATGCAGACCGTTCTTTGATAACACAATTACAAAGAGTACATGCCGCAGAAATTGTCTTGCCCCACGTCTTAAGGTTAAAGGTGACCAAAGATTGGGCACTGAGAGTGCATCGACACCATCACTTTTTTCTGTTGGAGGCAATGAATAAACCACAAACTTTATCTGTGTCACCACCTTTTTCATATTGGAAAGTAACCTGCTTTAAATTGTGATGAAGTAATGGAAGTTTTCTTTTTTGCCACATCTCAAAGAACATGCGACCCCCTCCACCCGCCACCTTCACAGCTTCACAAACCCACTTCCTGGTACTTTGTATCAAGGTGCCTGTACACGCGCACACACACACGTATGCACAGACACCACACAAACAGGAAACAGTCGTCTTTCATGTGCTCCAAACTGCACATTTTCACTTCTTTGCATGACTTACACTCACCTGCTGCAGTACAGACCTTTCTGGTAGACCTGCTTCTGATCTTAATACAATTTACACGTAAAAGTGTTTTGATGTTGCAAACCTGTACTTTTCCTTTAAAATTATACAATATTTTGGAATTCATGCAAATGTGCAGAAATACTCAGATACAGGAATAAGTGGTAAGATGGGGGTAACTTGATATAACAATTCTTGTTAAAAATAAGAATTTTGACTTGTATAAACTTTCAGAAGACAATTGATGCATTTAAATAAATAACACTTAGGAATACAAGGCCTTAGAGGAATGCATATTGACCATTGTCTCTCATATCAGAGTTTTAAAGTAAAATCATCTTATGCTGAGAAAGGATGGTATTATAGCCATTTTGGACAAACCTTGAAAGTAACATTGTGCATAATCCCATGGATACTGGGAGTTCTTGCAACATCAGTTAGTGCTCATGCTATGTGATGAGGATGACTAAGCTACTACAACAACAAAAAAAACCTTTTAACTCAACTTTAACTTTTAAATTTAACTAAATAACAATGAAGCCACACCAACTATGATGTTGCCAGATTGAGAAGGTCCACATGAGATGCCTGGGAGCTTCTTGAGGGTTCTGCTCAGTATCTTAGCTGTTCCTAGGACTGTGCTCTTCTTCACAGAGATCTCTGAGGTTGTTTATGGAATCTATTGGATTTACTTGACCAGTTTAGGGTTCACAGCACCAAGCGCTCCCATGACCCACTGGGGCTACTGACACCTCGACTCCACACCTTCTGTATTTCCTCTTTCAACCCTTGGTATTTCTCAAGTTTCTCTTACTCCTTCCTGATCTTACAGTCATCTTATCCCCCTGACCTGTCTGTCATTCTGGCTCCCCATGGCCGTAGCATTTTTATTGTACCTTGTCAGTCTCTTGGTGTGATGGCAGATTTCTCACTTGAACGTTGGAACATTTGGTCCAAAGTTGTTTCTGGGTCAATCTGAATAACGAGTATCAAAGTTTACATGGTCCCCACATCCTTCTCATGTAGTCCTTCTCTCTAGGCTTGCTTGTATAGTATCGTTCAAATAGTGTTAATTCTCTGCCCTTGTCCATACATGTCTTGCTGCAGTAGTCATTTCTCAGTAGAATGTCCTGGTTCCCCATTATCTGGTAGAGGACCTGAATTTTAACTGAAGTGGAATTGCTATAGTTTGAGAAAGGCACGCTAGGAAAAATAAAATAACAATTATATACGTATATATATATATATATATATACATACTGTACACATGTGTGTGTGTAAGTCAACTTCTAAACTTGTGGTTTCATTGCAGCCACTGGTGACATGCATGCTGCTTAGAATTGCTTTGTTTCCTAACTGAAGAAGCTGAGTTTCACTTTCTCGCCCAGATGTTTAACTTTCTCTGCACGTCAAGTGAGCGTCACATGCAGTAAATCCAGGCAATATGAATTTGTGAATCACAAGCCCACCACCGAGCAAAACAATTTAAGATTATGTCCTGATGCGTGCTCAATAATCCAGGTAGACGAACGTAACAAGTTTGAGTCAGGTCTTGTGTGCCTGACTCAAACTTGTTACACTTCAAATTATAAAACATTATCTTTTAAGGCTGTTTTACACAAGATGAAAATGTTTAAGCAGGATGACCGCTTGTTTAAAAAATGGGACAGCAGCTTCGGTTGGTGTCAGTGCAACGAGACAACAATCTATAAGACCTATGAAGCAACACGGAGGCCTCCACGGGTCAGCTGAGACAGGTCAGCCACCTTTGTATCGAGGGAAGGGACTTCCCTCCAAGCTTCTATTACCAATCTGAGAGGGGATAAACATGGACACACGGAAGTGTCCAGAGAGACGGTGTGTGCTGCGGGCGGGGGGAGTACTGATAACATTAAAGATCAAACTGATTTGTATCTGTTTATGTAAAATACATCATACTAGTTAAAGGCCCAGAATTCCTCGAGGAAATGCAGAACGCCCGCCACATTTCATGCTGGAGTTTTAGACTAAAATCATCTCAAGTCATTTCTGTGTTAGCTCAAAGATCCGATGAATTAATTTCAATAAAACTTAGTTTTAGCCGTCACAGCATTTTGACATCAGCCAGCACTAAAATTGCTACAACTTGTCAGTTTCACAGATATTGAGCCAACGTGTGCAAAAACATCGTCCTCCCGTCTTTGGGCGATCGTAGGAGCACCGTTACATTATGATGAATTGCAAACATGAATGATTCTGTTTGTCTTTACCAAGAACAGTCACTGGTCTGGTCGTTGCACTCATTTTCTTGGAAACTTTATGGTTCCTGCGCACCCTGATCAATATTTTAGTTGAAACTAGGACTGTTGATTCTTTATGCAACCAGACCTGCTTAATCAGACTTTGATTATCTCCAGGTCAGGACCCCGGACTGTGGTCCGAGGAGCTCTCCAATCAACTTTCACCGCGGACAAACTCCCTTTGAATTCAGCATTTCATGCCGGGGAGCCCAGCCAAGTTACATTTACCGTTTGGGCTGGACTTTTGCACGAGTTCAAACTCTGCTTTAGAAGTTTGTTTTGTAATATTTGGAAAATCTGCCATCATTAAAAAGATTTTAGACGAGATGGGTTTAAAATTCATGATTTAGGGCCATTAGTTATCACAAGCCTCGATTTTGTGAGACAAAGATTGGCATCTTTCAAAAAGCTTAGTAATTTCAATTAAAGTTAAAACTCATTTGAAATATAATCTTTAATGGGAATCATTAACTTTTTCAGCGTGCAGGAAAATCAAAATGTACCAACTTCGCTCCAAATCCAACCGTCCACAAACAAAACTCCAGACACAACTTAACTTTTCCAAAAATATGAGGTTTATTGACTTAACTGCAATCAATACTTACAAAACAAAAAAAGAGAAACGGTTTTTATATAAACTCACAGAAATTACTGTAGTGAAAACACATGGCTAGAGAGAGACAGAGAGAAATACATTCAATAGCTTTGCTGTACTTTCTTTGTGTCAGAATCTGTTCACCTTTTTCCAAACACATGAAGGCGACAGAGCAAGTGACTTAAAAATGTCCTCCATTATCAAATATATAAAAAGGCCAAGATGGCGTAAATAGCTACCTGGAATGTATTCAACGAGGCACTTCAGCTGGTCAGGAGGGGGCCAAGCAAGTGCACGAAAAGCATCCAATCAGAAAAAAACAAACTACTTTCCTCAACCCATTTGGTCACAGCTATTGCTTGTAATAACAGAGTGGATGCAAGAACAGAAACATTTCAACAGAACCGGTCTTCCAACTCAGAGAATCTCCTACAACAAGTGATGCAACAGGGTTATTTTTGTCTTGGTATCCCTTTACATCAACCGCCCACTGAGGACACTTCTCTTCAAATTGGGGACACGTTTAAAAACATAAATATAGAACGAATTAATGTAACAACAGCTAGCAACTGTTACTGTCAGATTACTGTAAAATATGGAGGAGACATCAGGAATGAACACAAGCATTTCAGGTGGAATTGCAGTCCAATGAGAGGGAGTAAGAAACAAAAAAAAAGGATAATAAATAATCAAAAACGCAAAAGTTATTTTTTTTTTTGCATTTTTTGCTTTAAATTAGTTTCATTTTTTTTGACAAAGTGTAGTTGCAGAACAAAAAGTCATTGAAGTACAATATATTAAACTGTGAAAAAAGGAAAACTGACAAAAAACCGTCTTCACAATCTTTAGATTAATATGGAAGATCATAATTTAACATAAAAGAAAATATATTCTATTGTTCATTATCCAGATAAATACAAAAAAAAATTAACAAAAAATGCATATGATCACCAATAAATATGTTCTGATAAGTTAAATAAGCAGTGACACGCAAACCTTCTGTCTGGAAAGTTTTTCAAATAATAAACCGTAATAATAACATTAATAAAAAATAATTATCAAATAACGAAAGCAACAGGGATGTAATGAGTACAGAGCGCTCTTCGGAGCAGGTTGTGAAATGGGGGGGGGGGGATAAAGTAAAATAGCTTGGAGATCCGATCTGAAAGCTGTAAGACGTACAACTGCACCACGGGAAAGCTGGAATTCCCCAGATCGGCAAAGATGAGAAGGTGGAGGCGGGACGAGTCGTACAGGTTTAATGATCAGTTTGATAAAGACTTCCTGCCCAAATAAGAACAACAACAAAAACCAGTGACCAGCAACAGGAGAAGAAAATTTATGAGGGGTAGGAGGGGGAATAAACTTCCAGTTCAAAGTCCTTCCTGCAGACTCACCCAGTTCAGTTACATAAGACGGGGCTTTAGAAGAACTGACAGTGGGGTTGGAGCAAATACGAACGGGGGGGAGAAAAAAAAACAGCAGTCCACTCACCCTAAACACATGCAGAAACCACCCTAGGCACTTTTAATTAACTTTTGCTTAAAAACTTTTCATATACTTTCAGGGTTTTTTAATTTTTTTGTCTCAACTCAGTCTGTAAAAAAAAAAAAAAGTCTGCGTAGAGCTACAATTACATTAGTGAGCACCGTCTAGCTAGCTCAGGGGAAGTGGTATCATCAGGGAGGGAGCTGGGGGGGTATTAGTGCAATGCACTCCCCTTTTCAAGGCCACTTGTGCTGCTACACATTCAAGAACAAAAGAAGAAGAAAAAAAAACCAAGTGGCACCTGGAAACAGTCAATTCTTGTTCTCATGATTTTTGTTGTTCAATTTCCACTTCTCTTTTGGCACTATGACACACGGCAGAATCTAAAACTTAATGTGCAGATCAGCTGGGATGAAATGATCATTTAAGAAAGTTCCCTTAATTGATTACATCCTTATAATGTCAAGGAGCTGGGGGCGAAGAGGGGGAGGTAGAGGGGAGTGCCATGTTCTCTTCGTGTAACTGGATGCTGCATGTGGTCTAGTCGTCGGAGATGGAGAGGCGGCTGAAGATGGGAAGGCGACGGGTGGTGTCCAACGAAGGGGACTCGGATCCAGAACTGCTCTGGTAACCTTCTTGGTCTGACAGAGAGTCTCGAGGGCTGGATGGAGACTCAAACATCTGAGGGGACATGGATCTGAAGAGGAAAGCTGTGTTTGTTGGAGATGGAGGAGCAGGGGTGTTGGGCTCTGTGCCTACAGAACCAGAGCTAAGGCTTGGCCCGAACAGGTTGGCCAGCTCCTGGCTGGAATAGGTGAAGGGGTTACTGCTAGGCCAGTCCAGGACCTCATCAGGGAAGAACGCAGGAGGAGGGGTGACAGAGGTGGGGCTGTCTCTCAGCCCAGCTGAGCTGGAGAAACCAGCAAAGCTGTAGCTGTGCTGCAGCCGAGGCCTCTCAATCTTGTTTGAAGAGTTTAGAGGGGAGGACTGCTGAGGAGGTCCGCGGCGCTCCTCAGCATTGTGGATGAAATGGCACCGAGGCCCGTATGGGCAGAATCCGATGGTGTGGAAGGTGCGGCACAGTTCAGTTTTGTATTTGGGATGCCGGCTCAGACTGCGAACTTCATGGATCCCGTGTGCGAACTGGCATTTGTCTCCGTACTTGCAGGAACCATTCTCCTCAAATGGCCTGCAGAGCTCCGTCTTGTAGCGGCTGGAATTCACTTGGCTGCTGCCACACGTGGGACTGGCGGGGCTCAGGCACTTGTTGATGAGCCTCTCGCCCGTCTCCGAGAAGGAGCGGTCTCGCAGGCGGTTCTCCTTGTTGTTGCTGGCATTGCCAGGCCCTGAGATGAGGGAGGAGTGGTCCACTGCCTTCAGGCTGTTCAGAAACTGATTCTGGCTGAACTTTGTGCTGCTGACCGAGTGCCGCCGGTGGTACACACCTCCCACTGAAGGAGATCCCACCGCCTTCCTGTCCAGCAGGGGTCCGGCGGCACTGGAGATGGGCACGCTGGTGCCAGTGCAAGGGACAGACATGGGCTGAGGCGCTCCCAGGTTGTTATAGCTGAGAAGTTTGTTCTGCAAGACAAGAAGCACAGAACATGTCAGAACTCATTCTACAACTGCCTTCTAGCACTGGCAGGGCGTGCGGTCACAACTTTAAGAACCTGATCAGAACCTGACAATTAAAAGAACCTCCCCACAACTGCTCTTTGTTTTCTGGCTCCAGCAGCGACACAGGCCCACAGAGCAGCTGCTCTGGAATGTGGGCCCGTTCAGCAAAGAAGCCGCAGCGCGCCAGGCCGGCATGGCTGCTCACGAACTTTAATTTAAATAACCCTCATTAGAAACGCGTTCTTAAAACAGTTATAATGGAAACCCGGCCCGCTTCAGCAGCTGGTTACTGATTTACACGAAGCAGATAAAACTTGACAAAAGCAGGACAGGAAGCTTCGCTTGAAAGACGAAACGGCTCAACAATTTTAAATTAACCGTTTTAAGCAGATCAAAGAGTTTAACTTCTCGTTCCGGCTCACCCGAAGTTTAGCTAACCGTGTCGCGAGCTAAGTTAGCTGATGTGGCGCGTGCTCGCTGCGGACGGACTTCACGTCGCGAGACGTTCACGGAGCACGTATTTAACGTAAAACCTGCGGAAAGGCGCGAAACGAAAACAGGAAAAACAACAAAAACAAGAAAACAGCGAGGAGACGGAGAGAGGCCCGCGGCAGCTCGTCATTCCTCCACACCAAACTTTCTGTTGCACGAGGGAAGAGAAGTCGTGAAAAGTTTTCCAAATACCTTGCTCATCATTTCAAAGTCGAAGAACGGCGACACCACGGCGGCGGACATGTTTGCAGGTCAACAACGGTGAGTACAAGAAGCGGGGCTGGTCGAGAGTTGCTGCCGAGGTTGTGGCTCTGTCTCCCAGCAGACTCCCCCTCTGCCCCGCCGCAGCCTCCACATTTGCTTTTAACTTCCCCGCAGGAGGAGCTTCCACCGCTGGGCGGAACTTGAGCAACTTTTTTACTTCTGCTTCTTTTTCTCTTGTTGCTCGGTGTGTGTTCTTGTTGCTCGGTGTCTGTTCTTGTTGCTCGGTGTCTGTTCTTGTTGCTCGGTGTGTGTTGAAACGGGGCTGAGAGCAGCACGGCCAGCTGACAGGAGAAAGATACGTTCTGTTTACAGAGCTCACTTGGTGGGTTCGCAGCTCAAAGCACTTCCTGTTTGTATTTGTTGTTGTCTTCTGGAGTTGTTTACTGGAAGCTCTGGATCATCCTCGGGCCTTCACTAACAATACTCTGTCATTAATTTACTTTAGTTGCTGGACTACAGCGTCACTTGTGGGACTTTCCGGTGAATACAGAAAGAGCCTTTAACTCTTCAACCCTCCCTTTTTTAAATCGTCCATTCCCTGTCTGTTAGCAAAATATCTCACAAACCACTGGACCAGTTTAAATGAAACTTTGTTCCTCAGGGGTCGCCACAGTGAACTAACTCGCACGAAGACTTTGTGGTTGTTTCTACGCCGGATGTCCATCCTGACACGACCACCGAGCTCCCACAGCCGTCTGTGTGGAGCAGAGAGCTCCATCCAGGGCGCCGGGGGCAGATGGTGGGGGTTACGTCTGAATTCCTTGCTTAGCAAATGAGGGTGGAGGCAGGTGTGGGTGTTTCAACTTTCCCACCCACATTTGGCTGTTATCAGTACAGGGAGTTGAACCGGTGGCCTACCGGTCACAGGCCCACCTTGCCTAACCTCTGCGCCACCACTCCCCACTTTTAAATGTTCATTGGCTGCACCTCTACAACTGATTGACTTTTCAAGTCAAACCAATTCAACATGGCTGCCACAGCAAACCTACCTTAAAAACACAACAATGGCCATAACTCAGTTTGACGGACGCTCAAAAGTGTCGTCGTAGCTGAGACTGATCCCTAAACACATTCTGAGTGCTAACTGACTGAGCGAGTCTTTTATTCAAGGTTTTGCCATTATCTAATTAGACTCTACTGTTTGCAAAATATCTCATAAACCACTGGACGGATATTTACAAAAATTATTTTTGTGTGCGCACACACACATACGGTATGTCAGTGTGTCCCTTACCATTATACAAGCATGACGCCCCGCCCTGTCACCCCACTTACAACTGCTGGCACTGACGTGGTGCTAACCTAGCAGCGCACAATACAGACACGCTAGCTAAGAAGCTACAGAGGTAGCGCTGCGTTTCCCTCACGCTAAGCTGTCTCCCCCTTCGACAAAACTCACGGAAGACACGAGCGCCCTGCTAACACAAGTAAACTAGGGGAAACACTGTGCATGCACATACAACTGATTAGCATGTGGAATCAAACATGTTGACCACGGTCAGCTGATTTTAGAAAACACAGAGGGCTAAATTTTATTCAAATTTACAGATATTGTGCCAAAAGTTAGTAGCTAAAACCATTCGCAACATATATTTCATATGAGCTAAATCTATGGCTAAACTTTAACATAATCTGGTGTTCTCAACTTTCTTTGTTTGTGTTAGCATAATATCTTACTGAAACTTTCAGCAAGTAGTGAATGCACATCTACAACTGGTAACTCTTACAATCAATACACTGTAAGACCACTGCAGCTCATTGTCATTAGAGAAATGTCAGTAACTCAGTTTATTGGGCTAAACTTTGGTGTGGTAGTAGCTGAGAGTTGTTCACAACACATGCCCAGAAAGTGTAAGCATAACTTCAATTTCAAGTTTTTTCCTAAACATAAGAGGATTTTAACTCTGGTATGAAAGGTGGCAAGCAATACGCCTTCCTGTTCAGGCACTGTTCCTCACCAGCTTCACTCTGGAGTTGTATGAAGTTCACGCCACCTCGGCCTGGCAGGTGATAACTTGATCCACGAGAGATCTCACCAGGTTCACCCACAGCCAGTCACAGTGACGCATGCAGACACAAGAAAGAGCCAGGCTCATACAAATCTGTTCTTCCCTGCTCCCGCCTTCTACGACAGAGCAGCCATCGGCCATGTGTAGAAGGGAGAGGAAAAGAAAAGAAGGGCAGGAGTTGGGGGGTGGCATGAGGAGAAGATTTATGGGGGACGTTTATTACTACACTGCACTGCCCCAGGGAGGCGAGGGGAGAGGGGTGGGGACAGAGAGGCAAAACATTCCCTTTCCCCTTCCTCTTCTTTGCCTGCACAGGAGCCACAAAGAAGGAGGAGGGGGTGGAGATCTTTGTCTCTGCCTGCAGTGCTGGGGAGGCAGGGAAGCTTGTTTTTTGGACGTATAGTGAGTCGGAACAGAAACACAAGGCTCTGAGTGCAGTGCTAATGCAGCGTCCTACGCACAATAAAAAGATAGATAAAACTTTTAGGCAAACACTTTTGCTGGACTCCGTCAACAAGCAGCGAGGGCGTGTTCCAACATAAAAAAAAGTTTACGAGCCAGGCCTGCATGGAGTAATCTCCCCCGGAGTGTTTTCACAGACGACAGGGTGGGATGATAGACTTGCTGGAAATCACGTCTGCAGTTCAAAGGCCTTGTCACTGATTGATTAAGTGGATCAGATCGATTGTCTCCCTCAGAGGGATAAATAAAGCAGGGGAGAGGGAGAGGCCTGAGATTTCTCTCGCTCTTTTTCCTTGAAAATACAAAACCATGTAGCTGGT